ACTCTAACAAGGGTGTGCCTCTAACTTTGTGCTATATCCTCTAGTCTTACATCTCTTTCCTTTGTTTCAGTCTTCCATGATTACCATCTGCATTCAAGTGGCAGTCCCTCATCATTACCACATTATCTTGTGTCTGAAATCACCCAGTTCACAGCCACCATCTCTGCATTCCTGAAGTTGGGAATGCACCTCTAGACTTGTTTGTTGTCAATAGGATTCTAGTGACAGAGAACCTTGGTTAACATTAGCACAAAGAAATGTGCATAAATCGAGAGAGAACAAGTTAGTGATGTAACAAAAATTCATGACGTAAACAAGGAAGAAATGTAAGGCTTAATGAATAAATGAAAAAAAACAAGATTTCTTTGTTTTTGTTTTTTATATAAACTTATCTGCTCTTTAGAAATCCTGATGAAATGAAACATTTTTAAGATCTAAAAACAAAAACAAAAACAAAACACCAATGCCACTGAGTCTATTCTGACTCACAGCAACCCTACAGGACAGAGTAGAACTGTCCCACATGGCTGTAAATCTTTAGGGAAGCAGACTGCCTCATCTTTCTCCCACAGAGTGACTGGTGGTTTTGAACTGCTGACCTTTTTGTCAGCCGCTGAATGCTTTAACCACTATGCCACCAGAGTTCTTTAAAATCTCCTAGTCAACATTTTTCACCATAAATGCCAATCCATTTCCCACTTTTCTAATATGAGGATGATAGTTTATAGAGTAAAATTGGGGTTACACATTAAGAGGTCACCGAGTACCTCTTCTGCTTTGAGCAGTTTCATACACAACCACTTCAGAGAAATGAGATTTCTTTCATTTTTAAAAAGCATCGCTTCAGAAAAAGGTATAATTTCATTAAATAAACCATTTTGTTGACTGAATTCCTCATGCCAGAAAGTCCTCCTTTGCATCTCGCTTAAGTACCTCATGCTATACTCTATATCCTTCTTCCTTCTAATTCTGGAAGAATTCTATTTCCTTCTTATTTCCTAGAAGAAAATGGAAGCCAAATAAGGACTATGGTCTTGACTCTGCCTTACTTCTCGACACCTGTGTTTCCATCCCTCTCTCCCTCTCTCTTTTTTTAAATCTGGAAGACATATCTATATAAGACCTACAGTGGGTCTTCAAAACTGGAAGAGGCAATGAGGTGAGAAGCTATTCTTTCTCTTTCTTGGAATATTCCTATCATATCAGGTACTAAACCCTTCTCCCCTGTCACAGGCATTTGATTCTACCATTTCCCACTAAGTTGTTTATTACTATGTGACCACCTTCTTGCTGAGATTGTTGCTGTTGTTGTTATGTGCCGTCGAGTCGGCCCTGACTCATAGCGACCCCTCCTTGGGTTTCCGAGGCAGTATCACTACGGAAGTAGGACTGCCCAACCTTCCTTCCGAGGAGTGGCTGGTGGGTTTGAACCACCAGCCTTCTGGTTAGCAGTCAAGTGCTTTAGCCACTATGCTACCAGAGCCTTATCTAAAGCTGTATGGCGCTACTGGAGTTACTTTATAGGACTGGCTCCACAGCTGTTCAAAAGCAACCCTGGTCAACTGTTTTAACAGATACCCCAATGGTTTATTATCACCAAATACGTTTCCACACTTTCCTTCCCACTATTTCTCCTTGAAATTTTAATAATAATAGCTAATGCCCTTGACTTTAGCTTGGCTCTAGGGGTGGTCCCTGGTCCTGCCCTATTCTAGTTAATCCCTCCACTCTGTCTTAAGTTTACTCATTCTATGGATCATTTTTCTTTTTTTAATTAGTAAATCCCTCTTCTTCCTTGGTACTGCAATATTACCTATTCTTTCTTTTCCTTCTTTCATGTAATAGCACAACAGATTCCTTTATCCTTTTCATATATCTTTAAACCCTCTGTTTCATACAAGTTACATCCTCCTGTCCTTTTTTCCTTTATGTCTTTGCTACTCTGTCTCCAGCAAAGTATGTTTGCATCATTTACTTTTAACACTCAAAACCACTTTGTGAGATGTATTTACTTGTTATTGCTACTGTAAAAATGAGGAAATTGAGGCTGAGGGAAGCTAAGAACGTTGCCCAGAGGCCCATGGTCAGAGAAGGGGAATTGAACTGAGTGCTGCTGTCTCTAAGATACATTTTCTTTCAGTCTGCCTTCACACCATGTTCCTTCCACCCCATTTACACATCTAACATTTCAACAACTGGGTTTCCTACTACTTCCTCCTGTGTTTCTTACTACTTTTGGGCAAGGGAGGGGTTTCTTCTGGTTTCCTGTTGTCTGTCGTTTTACACTCTTGCTACTCTCTGGCTTATTCCCATGGCACTGATGAAATATGACTTCAAATCTATTTCCTGTGATTTACCAGTTTCCCATACCTTTTTATACTATGTACTTATGTTATATGCATATTTCATTTATTTAAATGCTACATCTTACCAATTGCTTTGATAAGAACATGGTATTAAATACCAAAGCTAGTTGGTATGTTTAAAACACTCAAACAATGGTTTCTAAAACGTGGTTGCTGTGAAGAGTAGTTAATTCTTTCTTCGAAGTCTGTACCATTTGGTCCTCTGGGATCCTCTCACTCACTCACTTTCTCTCCTCAAACTTCTGCCTCCTCTAGACCATGGTTTGTCCTTTTAGGTATGTCACCTGGGCTTTTGCATATTCTGGTTTCACTGCAGTAATCCATAACTCCTTTGACTGCCCAGTCTCCCTAGAGAGAAGACAATCTGGGAAACTGTCTCTGTGCACAGGTCAAATGTTCAAATGGTTGTTTGCCTGGCCTGCTTCACAGTGGATATGTCTACTGCTATTTACAAACCAAGCAAAGAAGTTTATCCAGATTTTAAAATTCAAAATTCAGAAATTCATATGTTATAAAAACTATATCCTGAAAGAAAAAGCAGAATACATTTCATGTCATATATGATAAGGGAACACTGAGAGGAGGCCACAGGAAATACCAAACCCATCCCAAACACCAAAATAACAACCGTGCTTCGTAAATGCCAGAACTTAGAGCTCAATCTGAACAAGTGGAACACAAAATGGTAACTACTCAGGAATTTTTTGATGATCTCTTACCATGGGATAAATATCAACAATGTGAAGTTCATAAAGGGTAATATTTTAACATATTTTCAAGACACTTCTAAAAATGATTGATTTACCTAAAGTAAACTCTGTATGCTTGTTACTCTCCAGGAACTAGCCTTACTTTCAGTTCTCTAAAGGATGCCCACACAGTGATTATGCTTCATAGTGATTTCAGTGACAGCCCACCAAGTTTCTCTATAATGACCCCAAGGTGCCCATCTCTGATATCTGGGTCATTAGTTCATTGGAACGGTTCACGAATCCATATAATTTCTTTGTCTCCTGGTCTCTGAGCCCCTTGTTTTGTGTCTTCAGGTAAGTTTACACAGGACTGCACAAATTTCAGCCATTCATAAACCACCTTTGTAAATTTTTATCATACATGTTCTCTCATCAGCGTAATATTTTAATTTTGATTGCCTTTCTAATTTATATAAATGTGTCTTGAAAGGAACCTTTATAGTAGCACAGGGTGATAAAACAAGGATCCCTTGCAATAAATAGTAGACAATCATAGACATAAACATGTAAATTTAAAAAAGCATGTTCTTCTATGTCTCAATTTTGGAAAACCCTGAAATGATTAATGTAGCTGTCCTACATGATTCAAAATGTTACTGCTCTGCCCACCTACCTTTCTCTAAAGAGAAGTCATTTTCTCATAGGAAAATAATTGATCAATGTACTTATTTTCTTGGTTTATTCACACAATCCCTATTTGGTTGTGCAACTAAATTAAATATATGTATGTGTATAAATTGAATATACATATATAATTGAATATATGTATACTTATATGAGTATGTCTGTATACATATACACACATACACATATATATGACCATTATACCCAAAGGCAGCTTGGTTTCTAAGACACGGAAACTCTCAAAATATTATTTCTTACCTATTGCATCAGGATGTCTTATAGACAGAGGACTGTGGTAACATTCATAACCCTGAGAACTTGACATATGTCTGCCCTCTGGCTGTGGAGGCTCATGTAGCTGATCCACCATGTGACCCATTTTTCCCCATATACGCTTTATGATATATATATATATATATATATATATATATATATATATATATATATATATATATATATATATATATATATATATATATATAAAAGATATTCTAAGGAACTGTTGACTCATTAGCTCATGAAATTGTGGTATAATGGAATGAAAACTACTCTGAGTCAGAAAATGGGATTCTCATTCTGACTATGCTATTTGACTTTGGTTAATTTACTCAACATCTCTGGGCCTCTGTTTTCTTACAATGAAGAGGGATCGATTAAGTTTTCTAAGCATAAAATGTAGCACTGTAAGTTAAACACTGAGGAGAATGCTGATGCTCCTATGCCCACTCTTTTAACGAAAAGGGTATGTAAATGTTTGCTAAGTTATAAAATCTAGATTTTTTTCTTTACATTAAAAAAGCTTCCATTTATAACAGTTAAATTTGACATTTAAGCACTATTCTTATTGCTTAAAGGAATACCATAAAATGGTCAGATATGGCTCCCCTACCTAAAGCTCTAAAAATAAATAGTTTTACTGCCACAACACATAAGACATATTTTTCTCACTATATGCAATCTATAACATTTGCTATTCCTGAAAGCACAGTGAATACAGAGGACAGTGATGTTTGTGCCCAGATGGCAGGATTTACTCGTCGGCTTCTTCATTTGGTGCATGTGGGTCTCTTAGCTACACTAAACTTTGAGTATCTGTCCTCTCTCAGACAAAGGGGCCCCATTCTGCTGATCTTTATAACATGTTTCCTTAAAACAATGGTGGAGGGAAAACAGCAAGTAAGACTCATGACACAGATTTCACAGGAGGAGAGCATACACTCATAGCCTGTAAAAAGGATACCAGGATCAGCTGACTTACCCACACCTCTCTCGTTCTTGGAATTCTGCTGCCCTCCAGAAGTGGTGGACAGGTCCTCAGGAACAGGCATGGGCTCATCACCATCATCAGGATTATCACTTATGGGAGGGCTTTCCTTCCCTGAGGAGATAAGTAGCAGCTTGAGTTCTGATGGCCTGTTGTCACCAGTAGGGCAGGGCCCCAAGGAAGCACAAGGTGTTTGGGCTTGGTTAGAGAGAGTGAGGCCTCATAAGAAGGTGATGACTGGATTGAGTTAATGCATCTCTACTGGGGGAACATACATTTTTCTGTTTATAAAAAAATAGTTATTGCCAAGAAGAGAGAAAGGAAAAGAAAGAGAAAAAATGGGGTGTGGTAGGGATAAGGGATGTTTACAGAAGGATGAGAAAGGAGAATATAGATGCAAAAAAGGAAAAAAATAATACCAATCCTAGAGATAAACACTACTAAAATTATGCAATGTGTATATGTGTACTTTTGTTAGTGCTCTCCAGTTGGCTCTGACTCATAGCGACCTTATGTACAACAAAACGAAATATTACCAGTCCTGTGCCAGCCTCACAATCCTTTCTATACCTGAGCCCATCGCTGAAGCCATTGTGTCAATTCATCTCGTTGAGGGCCTTCCCCTTCTCTATTGACCATGCACTTTAGCAAGTATGATATCCTTCTCCAGGGAATAGTTGCTTCTGACAACATGACCAAAGTAGGTGAGACAAAGTCTGGCCATTCTTACCTATAAGGAGCATTCCAGCTGCACTTCTTCCAGGACAGATTTGTTCATTCTTTTGGTAATACATGGTACTTTCAATATTCTTTGCCAACACCAATCAAAAGCCTCAACTCTTTTTCGGTCTTCCTTATTCATTTTCCAGCTCTCACATGCATATGAGGTGACTGAAAATACAATGGCTTGGGGTAGGCGCACTTTAGTCTTCAAAGAGGCATCTTTGCTCTTCAGCACTTTAAAGAGGTCTTTTGCAGTAGATTTGCCCAGTGCAATATGCCATCTGATTTTTTAACTGCTGCTTCCATTGGTGTTGATTGTGGAACTAAGTAATATGAAATCTTTGATTTCAATCAATATGTGTATACACTTATATATTATTGATAACGTGGTGATGCATTTTCTTTTTCAAAATAAATTGTGCTTTTAAAGGATTTTGGCATTTAATGCCTTACGAACATCTATCTATGCTAGTTTATTTTATTTATACTGGCTGTGTTATACTCCATTGCACAGCTAGATAGGATTTATATGAATCCTTTTTTGTATTTTTGAATCTGTATTTTTTACCAACATTTTTAAAATTATTAAACACATTTTCACATATCCTTAATAATCATCATAGTATAAATTTCCAGGAATGTTATAGCTAGGTTAAAAGGCATCTACATTTTTAGGGCTCCTGACATGTTTTGCCATATTTTTCTTCTGGACGGTAGTTCTAATTTTCCTCCTTCAGTCTTGCGTTACCATACATCCCCTCATATTTATTTTCTTTAAGGACACCAGCTATGGAATGTTTTGCTAACTGCCTAAATTGATTTAACTTGGTAGAGAAGAAGTTTGGAAAGGAGAATGGATAGGAAATCTCATGCCTGCTGTGAAAATGATTACTTCCCTGCATCAAAGAAAGTGTGCCAACATCAACTTTCATCACTAAAATAGGAAAGTAAAACAAAGTCCACACAACTGCTATCATTGCTTATACTTTTTAAAGTAGAATTTACCAAAGAGAGTAAGATTTACTTATTCTGACTTAGCTAGAATTAGGTTTGACCAGAGCCTTCAATAATGGGGATTCACTCCTACTTCAAGGAATCCAAGACTTGGAAGTCATGAGTGATAGAAAAATGCCTTTTCTACTTAAGTTGAAACCTGTCTCCTGTAGCTTCTACCTTTTAGACTTAATTTAAAATTGAATTTTGAGACATAAACTACATGTAAGAAATAGCTGATAAAGACCTAAGTGGATACAAAATAATGCAATATAACTTCCTGTTCCTTCTTGATTAAGATCCTAAAGAAGGACTATTAGACTAAAAATTCATATTTGTGACTCAGATGACAACTTGGTTGACAAGTAAAATGAGATTTCCACATAGACAAATCCAGACTTTTGGGAAAGTGTGCAAATGATGAGGCAAGTGTTCAAGTGCCTAATAAACATGTCTAGATAAAGTGCAAAAATGTCCTTATTTGTTTGAATAAATGTCCTGCAAGAGTGATACCAACATTTTAGAGGATTGGCAAGACCTGTACAATCACTGCCAATATACCAAACAACTTTTACTGGAATAATTTAAAATAGAACCTCCACAGACACTGAGTCTATGCTATGGGGAATAGCATTGCATTCTCTAGGAAACAGACATCACAATTTATTATTCCAGCTTAGTTGTAATTACCACGATTGGCATATTTTCAGAAAGAGCATTATTGGGTATATTTGGATAGCCAATACAAGATGAATAGTTACGATGGGTCAAGACTACAAGAATTTCCCAAAGAAAAGCAAAAGGCCAGAGAAAAATTGATTAAAAGTGCTCATATTACACTAAAGCATTGTAAATGTGCATTATGTCAGTAATAATTTTCATTGCCGCAAATAGAACACCTTAAAAGTAATGGCAGGTAAATGTTATAGTATTATTTTCACAAATTATCTCATAAATGAGGAAAAACTCTGAATCAGCGAATATAGCAGGTATATGGAGCCATTTGACAAATCTTATTTTTTTATAAAATGACTGGTCTAGAGCAGCAGTTTCACACACTGGGGACTTTGGTGAGGGAGAATGTCAGAGGACTTTTCTTTTTTTGTGCAAAGAATCTCACATAGAATTTTATAAGACAAACATTCCATTTAAAGGGGGGTCATCGCAGGGTGGGGAGACTGGAAGATCAAGAGATCCAAGCTGCTTGCCTTCTTGAGGAACTCTTAAGGTACCTCCATAGAGCTCACAGTGAAGATGACTGCCCTAACAAACTAACCCAATGGCTAAATATTTACTGAGTGTGTGGTATGTGCTTGTGTGTTCTATGTTTAAAAAGCTGTCACAGGATGACATATTTCTTATAATCTTTCCAATTATAATGCTGGAGTACTCCACTATGCTTTGGGACCAATTTAAATATTCATAGCACTTTGGAACACAGGTAATCATAAAAAATGAGTTCTTATCCCATGAAGGAGTGCCTGACTTTTTTCTCAGTTCATGCCAAAATACATCCAAATAATTCTCGAATACTTGCTATTATTATTATTTTTTAATTTAACCATTCTACTAGGTGGCAAGATCAACTACACATTGATGAGGATGTTCATAAACAGTAGATAGGCTTCTTAAGCATTTTACCAGTCTGGTGGATTTCATGCATGAATTAAATGCTAGTTATGCAGTTTCCCTGGTCTTACATCTCAGAACTTTTGTTTTCTCTATGTAGGGAAAAAAAAAAAAAAAGGAATAATAAAAACAGTAGGGCTCATGAAGCTGAAATGCCATGGGTCAGACTTGATCAATAGAAGCTCTCTATGCAGAAGGAACACATGGAGAGAAGGGGGAATAAAAATTAGCCTCAGTGTGTACAGTGACAACCAGTTAGAACTGGAATATAGCAAAGTTATATATTTATATATTTACATGCCCTCCAAGAGCCTTTTTAATTCAACCTTCTCTGGCCTTAACTTAGGGATTGTTTTTAAGAAGTCATCTGATTTGCTTAAAAGCCCCTGCAGTTTGAGTAATAGTTGCCTGGACATTAACCATGTCTTTGTGCCCTGGGACCCTTGCATTCTCTTGCTGCTGGAGATTTTATGCTGAAAATGTACCACTTCACAAAAACCTTCATGGGGACAAAAACAATTTCATATGTCGATTTTTTAAAAAACTTGGCCATTTAACCATTTTAAATGTGAAAACTATACCAAAGATTATAAAGAGAAAATTATTAAATCGAGTAAACACATCAGGAATATTAGGACAAGATGACTGGGAGTTAGTTGACCCTGGACATACTTCTGGCTTGATCAATTATATGACTTAAGGGACCTCGAGACAAACTACTTCTTTCTTCATGTGAGTAAAAAACACAAGTTTGGGCTCACTCACAGAGTGTTGTGAAGATAAAATACAAAAATGTACATGAACTTGAATACACTAAATAAACTTATGGTTTTATATTGTAAACTATAACTTACTATATAAACATATGGCCAAAGGCCCTTATTTTCTCAAAGTGCACATATAATGGTATATGCAAACATACTGTGTTGTAGACAGCAAGAAATCATGATTTAAATGGAGTAATTTAGGAGGTACAATAAAATTTTACTTACTCAGGAAAATGAAAGAAAGTTCTGGCTAAACTATAAATACACCCAGTTTACACTTAATTTTCCTAGTTCCTATGTTTCAAATGTAGTTCTTGGGTGGCACAAATCATTAAGTGCTTGACTACTAACTGAAAGGCTGGCAATTCAAACTCACTAGAGGCACCTTGGGAAAAAGACCTGGTAATCTGTTTCCAAAAGATCATACGCATTGAAAACTCTATGAAGCAGTTCTGCTCTGCGCACATTGGATCTCCATGAGTCAGAATGAACTTGATGGCAACTGGCTTTTTCTGGTTACATTTCAAATAACACATTACCTATGAGACTTTTGGGCAAACTAGATGCTAATATTATACAATTAGCTTATCAATTGCAAGCTAATTAATTTTCAAGTAGACTATATTTCACTGAAATGCATGAGTTTTTATCATATATTCATTCAGGAGAAAACATTTCCTGTAGTAAATAAAAACTCAGAATACAGATTCTCAACTCTATAGAATAGTGGAGAAGTTTGTATCCCAGAGACCATGGGCTGACTTCTGGTCAGTTTCTTAAATTCTCTGTACCTTAGCTCCCTATAGTTTGAAAATAATAGCTGTATATTCTTCATTGCATTCTAATAAGGTTGAAAGAGACAAATGCTTATGATAGTGTCTGATAAATATGAAGCATTCAATGTTACTTACTATAATTGACTAGATAAAATATTTTCATTGTTACTTATGTGAGCCTTATTTCCCTAAGTAGACTATATATGTCTGTTGTTGTTATTGTTATGAGCCATCAAGTCGGACCTGACTCGTAGCGACCCCTCCTTGGGTTTCCGAGGCAGTATCACTACGGAAGTAGATTGCCCCATCTTCCTTCCAAGGAGTGGCTGGTGGGTTTGAACCGTCAGCCTTCTGGTTAGCAGTCAAGTGCCTTAGGCACTATGCTACCAGAGCTCCCATATATGTCTAGAGAGTACATTTCTTACTTGCTGATTCCAACAAACACATTATTAATACCATTTAGAAAACATCCAGATGTATTTAGTGTCAGAGGAGCCAGAGGACCTTAAAAAGCAACTCGTTCAACACTCTTATGTTACAAATGGTAACTACAGTGGTCCACGAGGTAGAGAAAACTGTCTTAGTTCCCATAGTTGAGAGCAGAGAAGGGACACAGATGGGGGCAGAGATGGGACAGGTCTCCTGATTACTCTCTCCTACAACACACTAACTCTTGCTATAGAAACAAAATGAAAAATAACGCACACACATTAGTAGTCTTTTGAAAGACTACTGAAAAATAAAAAATAAAAATAAAGATAAAAAAGGAAGGCAAGGAAGAAGGAAGGAAAGGAGGAAAGGGGGGATGGAGAAAAGGAAGAAAACTTACCAAATGAATTGGTAAGACATACCCTAAATGAACTACAGCTTGCATTTAGATATAGTGCCTAAGGCACTTGACTGCTAACCAGAAGGCTGGCAGTTCAAACCCACCAGCCACTTCTCAGAAGGAAGGATGGGCAATCTACTTTCATAGTGATACTGCCTCGAAAACCCAAGGAGGGGTCGCTATGAGTTGGGGCCGACTCGATGGCACATAACAACAACAACAACAACTCCCCACATACATGTGTCTCCTGCCAACCATGTGACCCATGTCAATAAATTTATGTGGGCATCTACTATCTGAAAGATGCTGTAAACCAAGAAACAGTCCACATTTAGGATATATCCTAGGGAGGAAACAACTAGTCAGATATTAAATATTTCTCCTTTTTTTCAAGAGAGTATTTCACGTATATCAGGTTGAACCATATGAAACTGCTGGTATTTGAAAATTTTTTACCCATAAAAATGGCAATTTCAAATGGTCCAACAGAGGAAATTTATTGTTTTTCCTTTCTTACAGAAAGAACATAACAGTGTTGTATAATTTCATGGGAAAAGAGATTGACTTAGTAACATATTACTTTATATTTCATATAAAAATGTTAGCTACTGTTTATCTGAATGTACATCCTTATTCCATAACTAACTGCCCACTTCCCCCAATTTTGGAAATGGAAAAAAAAAAAAGTGCTGTGATGGTTGGTTTAATTGGAGAAGCAGCAATCTCATTTCAAGAAAAAGAAAAAGTATCCTTGAATCTTTCCTCTATTAAAATGACACAACTGTAAGCACTGTTTAGGATGCACAAAGTTCAGCATAAATCAAAGTGTTATTAATGTTTTAGAAATATTAACTCCTTTGCTAAGTATATACAAACTAAATTTCTGATCAAACTTTAAATCTTTTTCAACCAAAAACAAGTTTATTTTTTCAGGAAGTCTTGTGTAATGAGGGCTCCCTTCATTCTTGCCCTCACCCCTGGCTACCTTCTCCTTTAAAAAAGACATAGTAGAAAATAACAAATGCTGGCGAGGTTCTGGAGAGATTGGGACTCTCATACACTGCTGGTGGGACTGTAAAATGGTACAACCATTGTGGAAAACAGTATGGAGATTCCTTCAAAAGTTGGAAATACAAATACCATTTGATCCAGCCATCCCATTACTAGGTATATACCCTAAAGAAGTAAGAGCCATGACAAGAACAGATATATGCACACCCATGTTCATCGCAGCACTATTTACAATAGCCAAAAGATGGAAACAACCTAGATGTCCATCAGCTGAGGAGTGGATAACCAAACTATGGTACATACACACAATAGAATACTATGCAACGCTAAAGAATAATGTAGAATCTGCAAAACACCGCATAACATGGATGAACTTGGAGGACATTATGCTGAGTGAAATAAGTCAATCACAAAAGGACAAATATGGTATTAGTCCGTTACTGTAAAAATTAAGGAAAGGTTTATCTATTGAAGGAAATTTTCTTTGTTGGTTACCAGGCGTGGGAGGGGAGGGGAGGGACTGCTGTTAGATAGATAGTGATAAATATTGATTTGGGTGAAGAGAAAGGCAACATACCAAATGTGAGTGACCAATATGGCAGCACTGAGGATGAGAAAGACATAGAGAGGTACATGGGAAGTACAGACAACAAATATGAACCCTTTTGCATATACAGTACTGAGTTCTCAGTGAAGGTAAACATGGGTATATGGATGGATAGATAGGTGGACAGGCTAAACGATTAGGTATGTCTATGAAAGAGGGAGTGTATCCAAGATCATATATAGGGTTGGCAGACAATGGTCCTATAAGTTTATGTGAATGATCAGAATCCCCAGGTGTACAGTACAGCTGACAAGGGGCTAGATTGTGGTCACTGCTTGGCCACAGCCAGCTACCCAGAGCAGTTGATCCTGAGGGCTTGGGACCATGGTTACAGGGGACATCAAGCTCAATTGGCATAACATACTATACAAAACATTGTTCCACCTCCTACTTTGGTGAGTAGTGACTGGGATCTTAAAAGCTAGCAAGCTGCCATCTAGATGCAACGATGGGTCTCTCCTCGTCAAGAGCAAAGAAGAAAGAAGAAAACCAAAATTAATGGAAACAATCAGTCCCCACGACTGGTACACCATCCAATCTGTAACCTACACAACTACAAGACCAGAAGAACTAGATGGTGCCCGGCTACCACTGTCATCCACTTGGAAGGGATGTAGGAGATCCTGGATAGAGAGGGAGAACAATATGGAACAAAACTCAAAATCATTTGGAGGGAAAAAAAAAAAAAAAAAGGATGGTTGGGACCAGGTTTGCTGGTCCAATAGAGCCTGGTGGAACCACTGAGACTATGGCCCCTAGCTGCCCTTCAGGTCTGGAATTGAACCTACACCTGTGGTTTCCAGCCAAACAAAGTACAGGCATGTGAGTTAAACATTTACCTCAAGTAGACACACGCCCTGGAGAGAACAATCATGGGAGAAGGAAGGGCTGCTTATGCACAGGGAGATGGCTCAGGGCGCAGGAGAGTACGGAGGGATGGTCACTGGGAAGAGGTAACTATGGGGAGGAAGTGGGAGGGGAGCTGTTGCATTGTGGTAAACTGTGGTCAATGACATGAGACAAAGTATATGTGAACTGCTGTATGGAAAGTGAATTTGCTCTGTAAATCTTCACCCAAATCACAATTAAAAAAAAAAAAAGACATAGTACAGGATGAATTAAGTATTTAGCATGAAGTTAAGAGAGGGCAAGAAAAATGTCAGAGGAAAATGAGGCTTTTGTTATTTCTGATACTGTGAGATGAGATCAGAAATTTGGCAAGCTGTTCCTGTTACAAAACATTCTAGAGATGGCTACCTAGACTAAAGCATTCTGTTTTCATTGTAGGCATTGTAGGGGTAGACCTTTGATCAAAGTAGTCTCATTCTCTTCAAATTCATCACACAAAATACTAATCTAGAAGCTAAACATTTATCACTGTTGATGCAGAAAGAAAGCACATAAAAAGGCTATAAAAAAAGTTTTGTTTTTTTTTTTAAATAACCAGATTTTTTTGTTAAGAAACAAAATGAATTAAGGGGGAAAAAAATCAAATAATACTGAAAGGAAGTGGATGAAAAGCAAAAGTCTACCTCCTTCTCCCTATCTTACCTCTTCCTTCCACTACTCTGTGTGTGTGTGTCTGAGTGATTTGTTTACTTTGTAAAGACTGGTATCATATTTTCCACACCATCCTGAAACTTTTTTTTTTTTTTCAATTTAACACATACCTTGGACATCTTTCCATACCAATACATTCATATTTTCATCATTTTTAAGAGCTATATGAAAAAGAGCATGGATGTGCCAAAGATTTTTTTCTTTGAAAAAACTGGAGGTGTGTCAGCAAAGGCACAAATGACATTGACAGACCAGCCTTCTGGGATTGACGATGAATCTGTGAAACTCCAAAATATAAACTCTTGCAACTTCCAGAGCCTACTGAAAGCCACTGCAGCCCACATGTCTGGCACAAGGTCAGGCTGAAAGTGGACTTCTGGCACCTATGAATGAATATGTGTACTGTACAGGTTCTGATAGGGGGTGATTCCTCCCCCTTAGTCACCCAATAGTACAGTCTATGCTCCATCTCTAGGTGTCATTTCCAATTATTTACTAGAAAAAATACATGGGAAAAGGGAGGACTGATGTTTCTACGTTTAACAAGTATTCTGAGTTGTACTCCTATGTTTTTCAAGTTACTTCCCCTTCCTTCTCTCTAACTTTTAAACACGGCCATGGCACATGTTTGGCGTTTAGGGCAGATCAATCAACCATTTCTCCCCAGAGTGCAAATGCATATTTAATCTTTCCCAAGAAGTTACTACCAGATTTAACAGTAGAATTGATTTCATTTTGGAGATTTTTCTGTTAAGGTCTTCATATTGGGGTAATTGCTAAGAGTTAAGTAAAATATAGATAGAAAGTCCATCTTGGTTTTTGCTTAGGCAGAAGAACTCCTCTTCCTCTTTTATGAGCATAATAAGCACCTTGAGTTCTGGCATCCTGTGGGGCAATCCTCATGATCTCCCCATACAGGTATCTTTTAAAAATCTCACCTGAAATTTGGGACATATCTTGACCATCATCAGCTTCCATTGTCCTTAGAATATCTGAGAAAAAGAGGAAGGGGTTTTAGTTTAAAGAAAAATACTAATAATATATGAAAAAGAGAGAAAAATAAAGAAACCATATGCTATTTAACAACAAGGTTATCTTGCAAGAATAATACATTTTCCTCCTCACATACTTGCTGGAGTATCAGACTGGCACAGACCTTGATCCTTTTAAAAACAGCATTACAAAGATTTATAAAAATATCATTACAAGCACAGGAGGACCAAATTTGTTATTTATTGTTAATTTCCTACTGCATAATAACCCAAAATGCAAACTGACTGCAACAAAATTAAGCAGAAAATTAAATGGCCCTGGGTCATTGTAGGCACAGAATTCATTCTCTTGGCTGATCCATAGTTATGTTCTTTCTAATTTACTGAGCATGCATCGATGAACCTTGAGTCAGCTTGGTGACACGCGTACAATCAGCAATCAAAAAACGAAGCAATTTGTTGAAGAATGTCTCATTTACCCAGGCAGGGCTGCATATCTGAGCAGCAACTGCACTACCTCTATCAATAATGAATACACCTCCAGCCTGGCAGATGGGCCACGCCGGTGCTTCCGTCTTTGTCCCTCACTCTTTCAGGGCCCTTGCCTCACACTTCACCAGCTCTCTTGCACTGGGAGAAGTGAAGCTTACTATACCAGCAAAACCAGTGCAGGAGAGAAGAGGGGCCCAAACTTTCCTGTTCTGCTGACAGATGGCTTGTTCCTCAGATTGGTTTAAAAACAAGTAAACGCGCAACTGGGTAGATGTTGCTCTTCTGTCACAATAGTGAATGCTCCATAGATTGCACTGCAAACTCCTACAAACACCAGGGAAAAACTCTGCATGTTACTGGGATAGAAATAAAGGACTGTTAGCTTTTGCATATGGAGTGCTGGCCTGAATCTCAAGTGGCATCTCAAGATGTCAGTGACATCTGGTAGCTCGGTGGATTAGAAATCTGTAGCCAGGGAAGGTGTAGCCTCAGCAAAACCTGCTCATTTATGCTCTGCTAGCAACCTAGATAACTTTCAGAAAAGAAATGTCACTCACTAGCAAACTGAGTTTATTTTCTGGATCTAAATCAGATCACTTTTGTTTTGTTTTGCTTTTGGCCACCTCTGTCTCTTTGGTCATATGTGTGCATCTGAGCTGTGAGGCCTTTTTCAGTAGAGACCTGAGACCAATGGAGGATTCAGGTAACCTGACTCTCCAACTAGGCTAAAAACTGTGCATGCAGGGGCCTTTTTTTTTTTTTTTTTTTTAATAATTTTTATGGTGCATATGATATAGGTACATTTATCTTTATTTTTAATTTCAGTATTAAGTCATGAAGAAAACATCACTGACAGTCATTTAAACTATATTAGGAGGGATTTTCCTCTATTTCCAAGAGTCATTTAACTACTCTGAAAGGCAAAATTAATTGTTAAAGCTGGTGGGTGATTTAGGGGTACAGCCTGTGACCACAGAATAGGAAAAAGTAACACAGCCCACATGTGGCTCAGTTAGACCGAGGGCCCATTAGCATGCTACAGTTAGACAAACTACCAGAAGCAGATACAAATATACAAAAGCAAGTGTCATCAAAAGGTAATGTGCCCTAAATCTCATATACATTTATGGTAATAAAAAGCAAAGATTGATGACTCTTCTGAAACTGTCAAAACAATAATAGAGAAATGAGATAGACTTGGATGAGAAAAATCTTGGTCTATAGTCACTGTGCAACATTAATATGAGAATTAAGAATTTAATTCTTTAGTTTTTTGAAAACAAGTACAGTATTATATTGTGAGATATTACAAACCAGTTCCAAAATGACCCTGTATTGATTGATGAAGTGTATAGTAGAATCCTGCTGCAACAAATATCATTCAACACAAAATTTTAAAAATGTTTGATTCTAAACGTTTCTGTTACAAGAGTAATACATTTTTTAAACTTTTTTTTATGTAAAAAGTAAAAAAGTCCATCACTTTCATCACTTAGGACTACTAAATTTTTCTGTATATATAGCTGTATATATATATGTGTGTGTGTGTGTGTGTGTGTGTACACTTATACATATACACAGAAGGAGGACTGTGCAATCTACTTCTGTAGAGATATCACTTTGGAAACCCAAGGAGGGGTCACTATGAGTTGGAATCGACTTGATGGCATGAGTTTCGTTTGTTTTTTTATATATATATATACACAAGGAGCCCTGGTAGCGTAGAGCCTAAGGCATTTGACTGCTAATCAGAAGGCTGGCAGTTCAAACCCACCAGCAACTCCTCAGAAGGAAGACTGGGCAATCTACTTCCATACAGGTATCACCTCAGAAATCCAAGAAGGGGACGTTATGAGTTGGGACCAACAGGACAGGAGTGAGTTTGGATATATACACACATACACAGAATACATACATATATATATATTTATTTATTCATATACATATGACTATATATTCAGAATAGGGAGCTCTGGTGGCATAGTGGGTAAAGGCATCTTGTTGCTAACCAGAAGGTCAGTGGTTCAAACCCATCAGCTGCTCTGTGGGAGAAAGATGAGGCAATCTACTTCCATAAAGATTTACAGCCTTGGAAACCCAACGGAGCTCACTCTGAGTCGTAATCAACTCAATGGCAGTGGATATTCTTTGGTTTTATATATTCAGAATACACACATTATGTGTGTGTGTATAAAAGACATATACTAATATATGCACACGATACATTTAAACAAAAAGAGGATACTAAGTATATTACAAATATACTTTAAAAAATCTCTTTATTTAATGTAAAAATGTCTTTTCGTTTAACAAATACACATCTGTATCATCATTTTAATGGCTACATACTACTCAATTACAAATTATTTAACCAACCTTCTACTGTTATATACTCAAGTTTTCCCAATTTAAAAAAAAAAGTTTTCCAAGGCCCAGCTGGTGTCTCTCCCACTTAAGCACATCTGGACCAAACCTATTCTCAGTATGGCATAGTTCAGCTTAACACAGCAAGTAGTTCAGACAGCAAGATGAGAGAATACATCACAAATAAAAGCACTAGTAAGCACAAGGCGGGTCCCAGATTAGGCCATGCTCTGTGGGACCCTCCTTATTCTGAGAAGTCACCTTGCATATTTTAATGCACAGGTCCCCTTGTGCACAGGTAGGAGAGGGCAGATAATGGGCATGGAGGCTACTTTCCCTGGAACAAGTCTTTTCTCAGCAGGAGTGTGTTACAGAGTTGAACAAAGGGAGCTAGAGATATTCTGGATTTGTATAAACAAAGGCCTGTTCAATTTTTCACTAAATGTTCTATAACATCTCCTTTCTCCCTACCACCCTCCCCACAAGGAGCACTGTTATATAATTGACCTCACTCATGTCTTCACACACATTCTGCATCAGCTCTACTCTGACCTCAGGCTGGCATCATGGGTGACTGTATACTCATTCAGGGCCCCATGTTTAGATGGTCCTGCATTTGGTCTAATGTTCTGCCACTGCCACTGTGAAATTCTCAATAATTAATGAACAAGGGGCCACTGTGTAATCATTTTCCAAGGGGTCTGAAAATTCTGCAGCCAATCTTGTCTGACATCATGGGGAGGGGATTGAAACTGGACAAGCTCCCTAATTTTCCCCAAGCTCCAAATTTGCATCTCTTGTGATGAAAAAGCAATGACTTTTTGGTAAAAGTGGCTTTGCTGTTACGTAAAGGCCAAAGGAAGAATCCAACTATGGGAAACTGTGCTTGAGGGGAAGGTCATTTAGCCTCTTCAAGACTGAAGCTACAAAGGGCGGCCTTGCAGTGTCTTGAAAGGCAATGAAATACTCTGGCTCTCTCCCGCCCCCCTTCACCCTAGTTAATACGTGTAAGACCAGGCTCTTTCTTTACTTGTATAAAGCACTTACTGGGCCCTTTTGCCCTATGAATCAATGCACAATATCAAGGAGAAAATGGAATTTATGCTTGATATGGTCTCAGCTATAAAGGAGCTTACCATTAGTGAGAGAAGTTAGCCACAACAGCTAATTAATAACATTTTTTGGAAAGTTTTGTTGTTATATGCCATCAAGTCAATTCTGCCTCATAATGACGCTACAGGATAGAGTAGAACTCCCATAGGGTTTCCTAAGCTGTACTCCTTATGGAAGCAGATTGCCAGGCCTTTTCTCCCATGGAGATAAGGGAGGTTCAAACTATCAACCTTTCAGTTAAAAGCCAAACCCTTTACCACTGTACCAGTAGGACTCCTTATATGAATGAAAAAACAAGATGAGCAGGTCTGTAAAGGGAGATGTCATAAGAAATAAGGATATCATAGAAACACACTGCTGTTTTCTACACTGCGTGAGAAATCCAAACAATTCCAGGCAAGAACTAAACCTATCAATAGTAGGAATAAAGTATCAGTACATATCACCTGTGTAATTCTTATAAACATGAATGCTTTTATTGTTTCTTTGGAGCAAGCAGTTCTGAATCTTGCACAAGTGGAAATAGATGTAGAGATAAGTGAAGGCCAAGGTGACAGAGGGTGTCAGTGGCTATCCCTTGAGGAGCACAGGGGAACTAAGCCTGCTGTCCCAACCCATCATTTGCCCTCCTCTGATTCAGGGCTAATTTGGAAGATCTAACACGTCTATACTTTCTTCTATCCTCTTCAATCTATTAGCAAACAACCTCTCTCTCTCCCTCTCTCTCTCGCCCTGTCCCTCTCCCTCTCCCTCTCCCCCACCCCCATTCTACTGATTAAATAGGGTCAACCAGGACTTTCCTAGTTACAGTCCTATAGACTTAGCTTATCAATAACTTTAGAGACTAGGGCCTGTTTGTTGTTGTTGTTATGTGCCATTGAGTCGTACTAGACTCATAGCGACCCCTCCTTGGGTTTCCGAGGCTGTATCACTATGGAAGTAATTTGCCCAACCTTCCTTCTGAGGAGTGGCTGGTGGGTTTGAACACCAGCCTTCTGGTTAGCAGTCAAGTGCCTT